GGCGGGAGCGCCGCCGCGCTTCCCAAGCGGCGCACTATCCAGTGCGCCACCGGGCTGGCCCTAGACCCAGTTTTCTAATGGAGTATGTTTAATGACTCTTTGATTCCCCAGAAAAGTTTACCATTGTTATATTTTTGACCTGTTTTTTTTTTTTTTGTTTTGTTTTTTGTATTTATTTAGTTTCTGTAATATGCTTTATCAGTACCTGGAAAATGGCAATGTGGATACACTATTAAGCAACCCCTGCACTTGGTTCTTTGGTAAATGGTTTATAAAGAACAAAATTAAAAAAAAATCTTTTGCCTTGAGCTCAAAGAATATACATTGTAAATCTATATGAATTCAAAATTTTATTATTATTATTATTTAGCACTGGCCAATTTTTATCCATCAGTCAATTATTTTGCTTATGTTCTTTTCTATCAACTCAAATCATGCTATTTATAATTCATCAGTATGAAATACTGGTGTATTTGTTAAGTGTCTTTCTAGGGAGTGGGTTCACTATTTAATTCTCTTCTGTGTGCTACTTAAAGTGTTACTTTTATTTCTTGGCATGTTATAGTGAGTGAGTGAAGGCACAAAGGGTATCTTAAGATCTTTTTAGCTCCTCTTACCTGCATCCTCCCCTCTCGTGCCTCTATGTCTTTATGGATAGTTACTAAATACTATGGAAGTATGAATAAAATTATTAAAATTTTCTATTTTTTGATATTTAATATATACTCTAAAGAAAAAAATGCAGTGTGAATGCTATGCCTTCAAGACAAGATTCTCCCTCCAAGCCAGAATGTACTCATAAGCCTCTCTCATATAGAGATTTTTGAATTACTTGTATTCAAGACTGAACAAACTTGTTATTTATTTAAAATAGCAGACTAAGATAACTTAAGCATTTTTCCAATACATGGTGCTAGATATGCTGGTAAACTATGACTACAATTTAAAAATATATGTAGTTGAATACACAGGGAAGAAAGTAAGATCTCTGATCTAGTTGATTTGGCCTCTAGGTAGGGTCACAGCCTGATTCAGGGCTCTCTAATTTTCAGCATATTCTGATATGAAGTGATTATCACTCATATTTTTCATACTGTAGTTGACGTAGCAACTATTTAACTAGAATAGGATTTCATGGGTTAGACAGAGTAAGTAAATTGCATTTCTTATTCCAACCTAATTGTTTAAAAAAGATCAAAATCCAATGGGAAAAATACACAGAAGCAAAGGAAAAATTTCCAGTACTTCCTCAGGGCTGTTTTCAATGCAATCATAAACAAACAAAGTCATTAAAAAGTGAAACTGAAAAATGTTAAACTCCTGGTAAATTTGCTGAGAAATATGTCAAATACTCCAGGAGTGTAAATTTTATAATATGAGTTCTTCAATTATTTTTCATTAGGATAAATTCACTCTATCTATAGCAGCTCATGTTTTCCCCAAAGAAAGACTAAGAACTACTTAAGGAACTACTTGGGATAGCAGTGCTTAACAGTGTCAGTGCAACTCAGCTTAGAAATTCTACCTGGTGTGAAAACAGAAGTAGCAAAATCGATCTATAATTTTTCTAATGTCAAACCCTGATGAAGACAATGTTATTGACATAAATTTTCATATTGCCTTGATTTTTTTCTAATTACAAAAGTAAGAAGAAGTTAAAATTCTCATGTTAAGGAAGTGAATAATCTAGGAAGTAAAAGTCCTCAAAAATCTTTAGTTGCTGGCTATATAGTCCTTCAGCTTTCTTTTTTTTTTTTTTCCTTTTTGTCTTTTTTACTGACCAGTATGGGATCGCAACCCTCGGTGTCGCGCCCACGCCGCGCTCAGCCAGTGAGCGGGAACCGGTCACCACATGGGATCCGAACCCTCGGCGGGAGTGCTGCCGCGCTCCCAAGCGGCGCACTCTCCAGTGCGCCACCGGGCCGGCCCATCCTTCAGCTTTTTTTCTGTACATATACTACTATTGTTACTGTCTTATTTTTACAGAAAGGTATCATATAATACATACTGTTCTGCAATTTGATTTTTTTATTTTTTATTTGATTTTTTATTTTTATTTAGCAATATATCTTGAACATTTTTTCATGCTGCTACAATTAGTTCTCTCTCTTCATGTTTAATGGCTTTATGCTACTTCATTAAATGAGTCTGTCATCACTTTCTCCTAATAATGGAAATTTTAGTTCTTATGTATCAAACAAAGCAGAAGTGCATATTCATGAGCATATGTGTTGCCATACTTTGAAATTTATTTCTGGAGGATAAATATATAGAAGTGGGCTATATCAAAGGGTATAAACATTATAGCTTCAATAAGTATTTTCAAAATACTCTTGAATTGAATATTGCATTGGATATAACCAAAGCAGTAGAAAGTTCCTTTCCCTGTTTCTTAGGAATTTTGATTTTGTTTGTTTAAATTGTATAAACCAACGTGGGGCTATATATTAAGCCTTCCCATTCAAGGACATGACATTTCTCAACATTCATTCAACTGTCTTTCATGTACTTTTGGCAAGTTTTATCTATAGAAATCTTGCACGTAAATTTGCATTATATTATACAATCTATAGTCATAGACTATTGTCACTAATTGCTAAACTCTCATGTTTGGATTCATATTTTGAGTTTCAAACTTTGTTAACATGATATTTTGCTTATCAGATAAGTTCCTTTTGAATACGAATGTATTAATGTTAATGTAAATTCTATGAGGACAATAGTAAAGTCTTTCCCATTTGCCTTTGTGATCTCACCTCACAACATTGTGTTTTACACATATCAAATGCTCAAGAAATTTTTATTGAATAAGTTAATTAAAAATTATTTATCTCTATGAATAAAGAAAACAAGAAGACATTAAATGCCTTAAAAAGGGGATGAGGCAGTTCTCTTCCTGGTCTGTCACGGTTACTATTCTTTCTGTCACACTGCAGTTATTTACGTGAAATGTATCTCAAAGGAATAATAAAGTAGATTTTTTCTTTGGTAGTAGACAGAGAAGCATCCAACCCATTGAAGGGCTGTATCTTTGTTTGCCACCTTTCTCTTTCCCTTTCAGTTCCTCTCTCCTTCCTTTCATACACAAACATCACTAAATGAGCCGAAATTGTGAAGTCGTGCAAAGATTTGTTTAAAAAGCAAAACATTTCAATAAAAGATCTTTCTGGAATAAGACAGGAAGTACATTTTTATAAATCTCCACTGAAGATCAGTTAATATTACTCAGACTATAATTTGAAAGTAAAGCAGGAGGAAAATCAGACCGACTCTGCCACTGCACAAATCACCCCCCTGAGAGTGAGGGAAGCATTCTGAGAATGGGAAATGGGAAATTCGTGACTCTTCCTGGCTACCGGTTCAGTCTAGAGTGAACTGCAGTCATGATTTCCCAAGAACAGCCTGTCACGAAACCAAAGTAAATTTCAACTCAAAAATAATGCTTTACTCTGTTCAAAATGATTTGTTTTGCATAAAACACAGTTTACTAAACTGATAAAATCTGCCACTGAAAACAGTATTTTAAACAGCAAATAGTTAAGACTTGGTTAGTTGGATCCTGCTATTTCAGAGCTAACATGGAACTGAAGTGTAGAGCCCATAACTGACTCTAATGAGAGGAAGAGAGTATCAAATTAAGTCCTCTGGCAAGAAAATAGCACATTCTAATTGAAGAAACACATTCAAGGATGCTCCTAGAGGCATCTCAACCTCTTAACTGTTTCTTCCTGCCATGTGTGTTTGCATATGGAAGAGGCTGGAAAAGTAAATTAAAGACCAATTAGCTCACACATAATCAATGATAATCCATGGGCTTCCTAGGATTGAGATGACAGCTGCTGCAAGATAGGTAAACTGGGAAGCTTTAATGTTCTGCTAGAGCAGTGGTCTCAACTGGGAGTGGTCCTCCAACCCTCAACCCCCACTCTCCATCCCAGTATATTTGGCAATACATGGGGAAATTTTTGCTTGTCACAACTGGTAGTGGTGGTAGTGGGGTGGTTGCTGCTGGCATCTAGTGGGCTGCTAAACATCCTACAATCGCAGAACAGCCCCCCATAACAGGTGATCATCCAGCCCAAAATGTCAGCAGTGCTACTGTTGCAAAAGCCTGTGCTAGATGAATGAGCAAAATACCAACGTATCTCTGTAATATGACTTATGATTCAGGGCGAAGTAATTAAGGAAGAGATAAAAATAGTTCAAAATAAATCTTAAATTGCACTTAAAATTATGCCTTTTTATTTCCTTAAATAAAATTTATTGATAGATTAACATTAATTAATGCAGTTTAAATAATTAAATATATTTTTACGAATGTAGGGTAGAAATTTACCAGTAATAATTGAGAAGAACTCAATGTCTAAGTGCTGGACAAATTATGCATCTCTTTTCAGGACCTGTGGCCAAAATACCAGTGGACACGTCATGGCAAATTCCAGAATGGCACATTTTGCTTTCTAGAATAGATGCATAAATTCTTTTGAAAAGTTTGTATACTAAACAGACTGAGCCCCAAAGACTGTTTCCTAGAAACTTTCTGTAGAATGCGGTCCCACCAGGTTCTTTACTACGTAATATGTTATGTCCAGATTTGAGCATTGTAGGTGAAAGCAATCTGGCTCTTCTGGCCGTGGCTGTCTGGATCAGAGACAGGGCCATTAGCCATAGGCATAGTATGACCGAAATATTAAAGGTGACAGTTTACATGATAGACATAGGAGTGGTAGCTTTCTGTTTCCATCTTGATAAAATTTTGTAGTTTTTATTTTATTTCAGAACATAAGGAATTGTGATTTAGATTTCATAATTTAATGAGCTGATTTCATGTACTCTTGATGAACTCTTTTATTTCTTATTCTTAACTTTTTATTTTTTTCTTTACCATCATTTTATTCTGTTTATATGTGGGCTGAGCAGGAAAGAGAGGAGGCCACGATGTCTGGGAAGACTGGCAAGAACTCTGCCCAGTAGAGACCCTCCATGGATGCAATGGAAGCAACTAACTCAACCAAATTATTTCTGTAAGTAGGATAAACTCTAAGTAAAGGAAAGGTAATGTTTCTAAGTCTTAAGTATTGTATTTGGCTCTGATAAGCTATTTCTAAAGTCATTTATGAATCTCAGGAATTCTGAGACCTTTGTCAATCTGCAGCCGATCTGAAAAATCAAACATGCTACTCATGTCTCTGTGTGTTCTTTCAATAATGCTAATCACTGAGGGTGTATAGTTCCTTCTTGCAACTCTAAAAGACTTGCTTTCTATCAGTTCAATCTATAGAACCAGATTTGAAAATTGGAACAAACTTTTTCCCTGTGTTAAACAATACTAGAACTAAATACGTTTTCTGTATCCATTTAAAAAAGTTGTCTAGTCATATTTTGAACGATATTAAGAATAAGCAAAAATTGCTTGGCTACTTGCTTCAGAAAAACTTACTCGTAATAGATAAGTGTTAGCTAAAATAATTTACTTGTCAAGACATAGCTTGCTCATCAAGACTTGTGCTTAAAGCGTCTCTCACCCTAACTTTCCTGTGCCTATCAGCTCCAGGCTGTTATATTGTAACCTCTGCCCAGTCACAGCTGGTTTCTTACTTTTAAAGATGCAAGTTAAAATGATCCAACTACGGTCCTAAACCCTACATTTTACTTGATGTTCCGCTTTTGAGACAATTCTGTGACTCTGCTGAGATAATATTTTCTCTTGCTCTAGTAGGTAAAATAAACTTAATTTCTCTTGATAACAAAGCTTTTCTGGGGGTCTTTTGGAAGACACGTAACAGCAAAGCAAAGATATCACAAAAAGGGTCAAGAAGACTGAGGACCCCAAATGGTAAATATCTCATGAGTCGTTTGGCCTTCTTAAAAAGTGATTTACACCAAAATTGAACTCAAAGCAGAAAGGAAACTTAAATAGCCAAATATTTCCTATGACCACCTCAGAGCAGTTTAAATGTTTATCCAAAATGTTCTAAAGCTCTGAGAAAGAAGAGAAATTTCTTAATACTAGCTGGCATTTCATGGATACAAATATCTCACAAAGGTAATATATCTAAATGTACATTGAACAAGAATACATGGGATGTAATTATAAAATCAAATGTGTTTTTGACTCTCAGCATTATTTTTATCCTCCTTTAGTGAGTATCGTCCTTTCTCTGCCCCTAGATGAAAAAGGGGAGCAAGCTGTGGTACTTTCTGATGATTCCTTTAAGTCGCAGATTTTAAAAACATCCAGTCCCGTGTAACAACCTCTCCTTTCCCTTCCAGCTGGAGTTTCCTTTGAGCTGACTACTTGCAGTGGGAGGTGGGGCCTTAATTCTCTTTTCTCCCTTAGTCACTTCTTGGTCTACTCACTACGTCTTAATTTAACGTCATCGGAGTCAACGTTCAGGGGTGGGACTGGGGGAATCGTGGAGGATGAGAGAAGAGCAAGGCAGCTAGGAAAGCTCATGTTTGACAGATATCTTCAGGATTTCCTGGCATTACAGAAATTGAAAGCCACACTTTCCACTTTTTGGGCACTTCTGTGGGTTCTCTGAAGGTTTTTCTGTGAAGTACCTTTTTCTAAAACTCCTGAGGCATGAGCGTGTTTTCCCCTGCCATGCCTATCCCCATCACACAGAATTTCTTCCTGTGACACCCCACATCCTTTCCAGCTGATGTTTCTCACTCTGCGAAGCAACCCTCCTAAGGTCGATCCCACTTACAATAATCTCAGGCTGACATTTCTACTTGGGATCCATATCTGTCACCACCATTAACCCGCATTTGGCCCACTTTCAGAGAAGAGGAACTTTCCAGTTCCACACTTCTATTCTGCTGCCAAAGATCACTTGAGCTTTTGAAGGCATGAATCACAAATTTGGGGGTACACAAATTATGCTTTCTTTTTAAAAAATTATTTTACTTTTTTCATTGTATGTGTTTATGGGGTGCAATTCGTCATTTCAATACATGCATATATTGTATAATTATCTAATCAGAATAGTTAGCACTTCTATCACCTAAATATTTATCATTTCTTTGTGGTTATAACATTCAAGATCCTCTTTTCTGGCTATCTTGAAATAGACAATACAATATTACTAGCTATTGTCACTCTAGGGTACCAGAACTTACTCTTCCTATCTAAATGTAACTTTGTAACTTTGTACCAGTCTGCCCACCTTTCCCTGGCTCCCCACCCCACTCCCTTTCCCTTTCTCTGGTAACCACTATTCTGTTCTCTATTTCTCTTTTTCCTCTCTTTATAATTTATTTTTCTTAATGACCCATGATAGTTGTGTATGCTTATGGAGTACACTATGATATTTGGGTACATTCATACTGTGTGTGCAATGATCATATCAGCATGCTTAGTATATCCATCACCTCAAACATTTGCCACTTCTTTGGAACACAAATTAAGCTTTCTAAGTAGTCTTTCAAAACCTATCTCGCTGCGCTAGGGGTGAGAACCAGACACTACCCAGGTCTTCCCCTCTGTGGGATTGAGATTCCTAGAACCCTGACGGAGCTCTCAAAATTTATTTTCACAAAACCTTCTCTTTAATACCAACTCGCAACCATTTAAAAGTTTAAAGGTGTAGAGCTTTAAGAGTTGTGTAGCCAGTTTAGGGATATTTTCATTGTAAATTCTGCATGAGGTATAACACTTACTTTGGAATGTCCAGCATATTGTTTTGAATGCCCAGCACACTGCCTTTCCCAAAACTTCATTTTTTTTTTTATTCATTTTTGTCTTTTTTACTGACCAGCAACGGGATCGCAACCCTCGGTGTTGCACCCACACCGTGCTCAGCCAGTGAGCAGGAACCAGTCTCCACATGAGATCCAAACCCTCGGCGGGAGCGCCGCTATGCTCCCAAGCGGCGCACTCTCCAGTGCGCCACCGGGCCGGCCCCCAAAACTTCATTTTTTTTTTTATTCATTTTTGTCTTTTTTACTGACCAGCAACGGGATCGCAACCCTCGGGGTTGCACCCACACCGTGCTCAGCCAGTGAGCAGGACCCAGTCTCCACATGAGATCCAAACCCTCGGCGGGAGCGCCGCTATGCTCCCAAGCGGCGCACTCTCCAGTGCGCCACCGGGCCGGCCCCCAAAACTTCATTTTTAACATTGTTTGACACTGAAAATTTTCAAAGTAATTCTATTTATATGCAATAATAGAAATCTTAAAGAAGTTAATCCCAGGTAGAATGCAACAGCATATTAATTGAATTACATAGCATGTCCCATTGCATTTGATCTCAGGAATACAACAATGGTTTATATTTAAAAATCTGTTAATTTTCTTCAATGTATTCCATCAAAAATTGCAACTAAAAAGGCATTTGACAGAATTCAACTTTCTTCATGGTAGTTAACCAAGACGAATATTTTCTTAATAGGAAAAAATGTATTTCTTGCAAATATGTAATCATGTGCTTACCTATAAAGTAACAGAAGCATCTAATAAATATTACCAATAGATTTAATGTTGATTTGGAAGAATGTTAAATTTAGTTAGAAAAGAGAAGATTAGTATAAAAAGTGGATAGAAGATATAATTAAAATTATTGGCAGGTTATATGATTATATGCCTGGAAAATCAAAGAGAAATACCTGAGAAACTGTAAGACATAATAAGAGAATTTAGTAAAATAGCTGATTTCAAAATTAATCTTTAAAAAGCAATAGTTTTTATACATACAAATGGAAATAACATTATATAATGGAAGAACATCCTGTTTCTAACAATAACAAAAATATTAAATGCTTTGTAATGAGAAAGTTAACAATCAATATAAAGAAAATGTTAAAATTTTACTAAAGGATAAATTACAAAACCAGAATAAATGATAAAGCATATTTTCTTCCTGGATAGGCTATCTCAATATTCTCAATGTATTACAATACATGCAATGGTACCTCATAAAAAAACACAATTAGACCTTAAAAAGAACTTTGACAATATGATACTGAAGGTTTTAGGGAATTATAAACATGAGAATAGCTATGAACATTAGTGAAAAGAAGAATAATGAGGTGGGAACTATCCTTATTAAATATTAAAATTCTTTAAAAACATTGCAGATATTCATGGCTGATTTTTTTTTCTACATCCATTCCATCTGCAGATTCTTAATTTAAGCCAATAATAGTATCTCCATTGTATTTGCCTACAACTGGTTCAGGGAAAGGTGGATGGTCGCCAGCTGGGACCACTGGCACGGGAGGAGAGCCTTGCTTGTGTTTGTTGGAGAAAAGAAGCCAGGCCCATTCCTCTTCCTTGGTATTAACTGTGTCAGTTTGACTTTGGAAACTGCTGTAACTGCCTGACTTCCTGCCTGAGAATGAAGTCAACTCTGCTCATGTCCAAACAGATGAAAAGAAAGAATTGAGTCCCTGATGACATCACTGAGTGAGATGCTGCAGAAGACTAACTCAGGGCTCCTGGGACTCCTGAAGGGCTGTTATATGTTAGTGTGAACTTCCTTTTTGTTTTTGCGTAAGCCAATTTAATTCTGGCCTTTGTTATTTTTGTGGCCAGAACATTCCTATAAAATAAATCTATGTTTAAAAAATATGGAAATGGTACACAAAGAGGAAGAAACAAGGTAGCAAATGCAAAACTAGTCCTAAATGTATGAAAAGTCCCATTTCAGAGAAGTGGGGAAAATAGTTATTTACTTCGTGGTATTGGGGCAAACTCCCTGGATTTTTGGAATCAAGCAATGCTTGACCACTACATCTTTGTATCAAAATAAATTCTGGTTGTGGAATTTATGAAGTATTGTCAAATATTTAAAAGGAAAATAAAATTAAACTATAAAAGTATCAGTGAAACTTTCATACACTGCTAGTGGGAATGTACAACAATACAATTGGTTTGGAGAAATTTTGGCAGTCTATTAAAATTAACTAAGTTTTCAATACGTTTCACTTGTAGGTATTTACTTGAGAGAAATGAAAACACATCCACACAAGACTAGCGCATGCATAATTATAGCAACTTTACTCAAAATAGCTCTAAAGTGGAAACAATTCAAATATCAATTAGGTGAATGGATCAACAAATGCTGTATTCATACAATTGAATAGTACTTAGCAATAAAAAGGAGCAAACTATGGATACGTACGACAATTTAGATGAATCTCAAAATCATTTTGCTGGTGGAAAGAAGTCAGACACAAAAGAGCACACACTACATGATTCCATTTATATAAAATTCTAGAAAATGCAAACTAAACCTAGTGAAAAAAAGCAGAACAGTGGTTGCCTGGTATAGGGGTAGAAGAAGGAATTGACTAAAGAGGTCACAAAGCATCTTCAGTGAGTGATGGTCATGTTATCTTCTTGGTTGTGGTTGTGACTTCATAGGCGTACAAAACTCTCAAAACTCATAAAATTGCACAATTAAAATGAATTCAGTGTTTTAGGTATGTAAAGTACATCTCAGCGTAATTAATAAAAATATCATCTGAGGACTTCAGGATTTTAAAAACATAGTAGAAGAGAATATGGGGGTATATTTTTATAATTTTTAAGTGGAGAAAGCCCATAATCTGTAATAGAAAAAAGTTAACAATTAGACTATCTATATAAAAATTTTATGACCAAAACCATCATTAATAAAGCCAAAATACAATAGTAAGAGTGAGAAAAAATTTGCAAAATTGTAAGCACATAAAGGACTGATTTCTTTAATATATAAAATCATTTCAAGAAATAAGAAAAATCTTAAGAAAGGTCATGATAACAGTTAACAGAAACAAAAATGACAAATGGCTCATAGACCTAAAAATATGTTCAACCCGTCTCAGAACTAAATAAAAATTAAAGCAATAATGGCTTGTTTTCATCCCTCAATAAAGACAGACAATTTTAAAAGAAACTGGTATTGACTATTTGTGTGGAATCAGGTTCTTCATGAGGGATTAATATAGTACCAGTGCTTTGGAGAGCAATATATTGGCAATATATTTCAAAACAGAGAAAACTCAGACTCTTTGCCACCTCAATTACACTTCTCAAAATTTATTCTATACTTAAAATTGAATACACAGAGACATGTGTAAATTTCATTATAATATTGTTTGTAATAGCAAGCAACTGAAAGCAGACAAAATATTTCGTCAAGAGTGAACAATTTAAGTAAATTATGGAATATACGTATTTCATTCCATTATCAAATAGAATTCTCTGCACATTTAAAAACAATGAGATAGCTTCATTTTTGCTGATATAAACACTGTCCATGACATATCATTAAGTACAAAATAATACAGAACAGTAGACTCCTATTTTTATATAGAAAACAAGTGCGGAAATATACATATGTTTGTACATTTATAAATTCATAGACTATTTATGAAAGTAGATAAAAGAACTTGGGATACCTGGAGTTGGAATAAAACTTGCATTATATTTGTTGGGTTATTTCAAATTTTTACTAAGTGCATATGTAACCTTTTTAATATTCAAATTGAAATTAAATATATATGTACATTCAATATATACATATTTTTGTGTCATAGGTATATATAGAGAATATATATTATGTCGCTGAATGGAATTGGCTTTCCTATAAATGTCTCTTATTAATAATCTATTTAGTAATAATAGTGTTGTAAATAATGTTGTAAACAGTGGTACCTTCAGAAGCCAAAAGCACTGATTGACAAATTCCACAGCCAAAAGCAATGCTGAAAAGAACATAGAATTTTTCTCTGTTAGATCTATCTTTGCTATTAAAAACTGCAACATTCTTTCAGAATTAAATAATAAATCTCTTTAATTTTTGTTTCAGAGATTTTTGTTTGTTTGTTTGTTTTTTACTTTTACTACATATCTCTTCTTGAGCACCGCTCCCTATTGCTTTCCTATTAGATGATATGTATCTGCATTAAAAAATAGTTATTCAATATTCATTCACTTTTTTATGTTTTTGGCATTTTGCCTCTGTTATGCAGTGAAATAGTCGAGTGACATTCTTGGGAATAAGAATTATGTGTTTTTTTCTACAGCAGTGAAAAAGACATACACATTTAAACAGATCTTTAAGGAAAAAGTAATTTAAAGAGTATTATTACTTCATGGCCTGAGTGAATTACAATGACAAAATAGACTCGTTTGTATTAATTCATTAAAAAATGTTAATTGTGCTCCTATTAAAATATGATTTAATCTTTAAGTGCACTATTAAGAAAAAATATGTTTTTAGCTTTGATCTGGCATCATAGTACCCAAACTGGCTGAATTTTAAGGTTGTTATAAATAAGAGATGACAAAGTAGTTTTTATTCATTGATCAGGAAAATAAAATTATATAGTTTAACTTTAATAATTCAAATTGATTGGGTCTTCTGTTAAAATTATATTTGTACAATTAGAACTCATATTTCTGAATTTAGATCAAGTCTAGTGTAGTTCTAACTCAGATCAGGTTTAGAAAACACATCTCACAGTACACCCACATAATTTGTTCTCCTAATTTAATCTTTTAGTGTATTTTTGCATGACATGAAACATGGAAGGAAAGTATTTTGATTCTCAAAAGTCCCATGAAAAAGAAAACTTTGCTTTTTATTGCAGAAGTAAAGTGGATTAAGAGTTGAACAGGAAATATTTAAATTCACTTGGAAGAGGGTCTCTGAGCTCAGTGCCTAGAGGCCCAGAGGGTAAACTTGGGTATCCAACTACTCCACCAGTGAAAGCCTTGGACCTGGCAGCTCTGGAGTGCACACTAGGAGGTATTTCATGCACGATGTTTTGGAAGGGGAAACAGTTTGTCTTCCAGAAAAATTCAGGGTATTAATAATGCAAAGATTTACAAAAATGGCTACTAAAAATAAGTACTCCATTTTCCCTCACTTTAACTTGTTTCCCTCAATAATTTCCTTAATTTCTTCCTTCTGCTTTGTTCTTTTAGTCAATTTCTCTACTTTCGATTGTAAGATCTTCATGCCAGTCTTTCTAAAAAGGCTTCTCCTTTTTTAGTTATATTCACAAATCTCAATTTAGAAATGGGACATGCATATTAAAATATTGGTGGATTAATTTTAATTTGTTTAAAAGAAGAGCTTACATGTGTCCAGTCAACATTAGAGCATTCATACACTTATTTGATCAAATATTTAATAATTAATTTTTGAGTATGTTTCATTTATATCAGGCATTATGTTGAATGCTGTATGCACAATGGTCAATACAGTAGACGTGACTTGTGCAGTCAGAGAATTCATGGTCTCCTGAGAGAAACATCTACTAAATAACTGAATAGATGCATATATCAATTACACATGGAGACTGTTTTTCATGAAAGAGTCTATGAGGAGGACCTAACTCAGATTGGCTGTTTAGGGAATGTTCTTCTGATGAAGTGTTTTTCCACTGAGAACTAAGGACGAGCAGGCGTCAGCCAAGCCAAGAACGCAGAGGTGAGCATTTCAGGCAAAAACAAAGGCTCTAAGAGGTAAAGAGCTCGGTGCCCAAGAGAATCTAGAAGACAGGAGCTATGATGTAGTGAACAGGCAGGGAGAGGGCCTGGGGGAGAGGCTGGAGGGTAGCAGGGGTCAGATCAGAAAGGACCTGGAAGCCAGGTAAAGAATTTTACATTGCATCCTGAATTCAACAGGATGCAATTGACTGGTTATGAGTTTGAGTAAAATGATTGACTCATATTTAGAAAAATAAGTTTGGCATCAGTGTGAAAAATAGAGTGAATAGGAGTGGAAGTAGGGAGTCCAGTTAGGGGTTTGTCACAACGGTGCAGGCGAGAGTCCAAATGTACATTATTTTCCTGGGGGCCATCTCCGTGTCTTGCACATAATAGATCTTCAATAAAATACATTGGAAAAACAAATTAATGAATTATTAAAGGTATGAGTTTTGCTGGCCTGAAATTCTATCAAGCCGTTTTCTTGAATTCACTGTGAATAGCAAAGTCTCAGAACTACATAAATTTAATATCAATTAGCAGCTTAACCCATCAGCATATTAACCTGTGGAATTTCTATGGATTACCATAGAAACTTATTACCATAAATCTTAAACAGTAAGAGTTTATAAAAGTGTTCATTGTTATGTCTTTAATATGTAAGAACTTTCCTTTCTTTCCATCTTCCTTATTTTATACCTTCCAATTCAGATTATATATTGAGTTAAAAGAAAAGAAGAATAAACATAACCATCTAACATCCTAGAGAAATGATTCTTAAAACTTCCTATTTTATTTTCTATTAATCATTCTATCAAATATGCTGAATGATATAGAAACTAAAAGCCACATTTCATAAATAAACAAGTTATATAGTAGTAACCATTTGATTATTTTATTTATTTTTATGATAAATTAAAAGGTGTGGAAATTACTTTTTGGTGGGGAGACAACTTTATTGGTCCATCTTTAAAACAGAAATTAAAATAATTTTTTTAGTGGTTTAAAAATGGTGATAAAAGTGTTGGAGAGTAGCCCTATTGTTATTATTAGAGCTCTATTATTGTTGGAAAATAACTATTACTAGCTAAGTTAATAATAAATCTAGTGATTATAAAAGCACACATTTTTCTTAAAATTATTTTGGTGTCATTGTACACATATGCAAGTGAAATGGGAAAGAGAAAAAGCACAGAGTGTGATCCTCGACAAGTAAAGGCACTAGGGAGTTCTGTTTCAGAAGCACTGACTTAAGAAAATAAGAAAATTACTTCATTTGTAGGGTTCTATAGAAAAACGGCAGATATTAAATCCCTGGCAGGTAGGATCAGCTACAAACAGTACTTATGTCTTTCAGGCAGATGGCTTGCTGGTTGAGAGACCTTTTTTTTTAATTTTT